CAAAAAATTCAAGATAAGGAAGGAATCCCTCCGGATCAGCAACGTTTGATCTTCGCAGGCAAACAATTGGAAGATGGTCGTACTCTCTCCGACTACAATATCCAAAAGGAATCCACCCTCCACTTGGTTCTTCGACTTCGTGGTGGTATGCAAATATTTGTCAAAACTCTCACGGGAAAAACCATTACCTTGGAAGTCGAATCATCCGATACAATTGATAATGTAAAGCAAAAAATTCAAGATAAGGAAGGAATCCCTCCGGATCAGCAACGTTTGATCTTCGCAGGCAAACAATTGGAAGATGGACGAACCCTCTCCGATTATAACATCCAAAAAGAATCTACTCTTCATTTGGTTCTTCGACTTCGTGGTGGTATGCAAATATTTGTCAAAACTCTCACCGGAAAAACTATTACCTTGGAAGTCGAATCATCCGATACAATTGATAATGTAAAACAAAAAATTCAAGATAAGGAAGGAATCCCTCCGGATCAGCAACGTCTGATCTTCGCAGGCAAACAATTGGAAGATGGTCGTACTCTCTCCGACTACAATATCCAAAAGGAATCCACCCTCCACTTGGTTCTTCGACTTCGTGGCGGTCAATAATTGTAGTCTTCCCTTTTTTGAGAAATCAAATCAATATGATTCATAATGTAGTCGTTGCTTTTTAGCTTTTGGAAATATTTAATAAAATGTAATTAATTAGTTAGAATACAATAGCTTTTCCATTGTTATGTTTGAAAAATATTGCTTTGAACTTGATCTTTATTGTAAATTTTAAATAAATACAACTTTGATTTACTACGCGTTTAATATTGAATACAATGAAAATGGCATCTACAGATGAAACTAACACACATGAAACTAAGGTTTCGAGGACAAAGTAATAAAAACGATTGCATGTTTTATTGTAAAACTAAAGATGCGTGCATAATGAACAAAGAAACAAAAAACCATTCCTTGAATTATAGTATCCGGCATTATATGGGGCGTGCTGCAATAAAACCAGACAATGAAAATTAATAATATTGGACATCCTTCATCACCAATTCAATTTCTACCTATTCAAAATAATGAAGATAATATTGATAAATAGTATATATATTTGTTACCAAGTAAATAATAAATTTTTTTTCAATTTGATTAATTTGATTATATATCTCAAGAAAAATAAAAGTGAACATAGTAAGTAAATCAAACTAGCAAAAAATCTAGTTTCATCCTCGCACTTACCACTACGACTTGATTATGTGCACGTCCGCGATACTGCACGTGATACCATGTTTAATGAAATTCTTGCCAATCGTGATGCCAGATTCGTAACCGAACTCACCGATTTACCGTGATAAATTTAATGCTGAACTTACCTCATGTGACGAAAAATTTACAGCAGAATCTTAATACTTGATTTGATGAAATCGAACAAGTCCTTCAAGATTACCATAACAATTTTAGTAGAGTCGCAACCGAATTCGAATCAATCAATGGATCTATCTCAACGCTCCAAAACGAAATCAATCGATATTATGCCGTTGTCCAGGCACGAAGCGTCGTTTCTCCAGAGATAAGAATTGAACCTATGGAGATAATCAATCCGAAGCATCTTCTGGTTCGAGCCAACGTTCATTTTCGGATATAACTTCAGAAATCTGGAACCAATTTAAAATTATTTTCGATAGAATTATTGCAGAAAGAAAATGTTCTTTAGATGATATGTGTAGTATTGATATTCTTAATCTTGGGGTGGGAAAACTTAGTAGAGATATAATCAAAAATTATTATCGTAGAATTAGTGATTTAAAGGGTAGCAATTTAGATAAAATAGGTGCTTGGATCGATAGCAAAACAGTTAATTGTAAGTAGCGGGAAAGGAACATGTGAGTGGGAATTGTTAGTATTTCGAAAATCTTATATCACCAACCAATTCATATAATTTTTTTGCTTCTACAGAGTTGATCTTGCGCTTGTTTATCAGATAATCTATTGATTCCTTTTCACTGAGATCGCCAATTTCCATTACTGGTTTATCTGCTCGTGACCAGGCACTACGTGCTAAAAATAAGAATCACAATATGTAATTAATACTAATTTTTCGAGCACAAAAAAAATAATATCGGTACTTACATTCCATTCTTCTAGGCACCGAACCTTCACTGCTGACAAATACAGCGATATATTTTCTGTCATCGGCATTATCCTTGGCATCATCTTGAAGGATGTCGAGGATTTCCGGATTTTTGTGAGCCAATCGGCTAACATTATCGTAAACGATAACCGGCGGTTTATTGTGCTTTGCTTTGTACACTGCACCAGCACGCTTAAAGGCTTTTATAGCTCTCTCCCATTTAGAAACCTTAGGTTTATCTAGCAAAAAGAAAAATAAGTATCAAAATAAACAATAAAGCAGTAATGAAAACTTACCATTAATTTCACCAAATATTTTTCCCATCAGCTGTTCCGTAAAAGAAATCCTTTCCTCAAATGCAAAATTAATGGCTTTTCCGAAAGCTTCACCTAATTCATTGAAATTCGCAGGAATATCAACATATATGACTCCGTGTCCAACCTCACTCGATGCAATCCTGATCAGTATAGTTTTCCCAGTTTCATGTTCACCGCAAACCATGTTATAAAACGATTGATCTTCATAGGGTTGAAAAATTATTTTAAGGCGTTCTACAATTTCAGGTCGAGGAACAAACTTGTCACTTGAAATTCCCGCTCCAGGTCGAGTGCCCTTTTCCACTGTTTCGTTGAGAAGACGCTCATTACATCTATTTCGGTACCAAGCGTACATAAGGTCCACTGATATAAGACCAACAAGGCCAGTTACAATTATGTTCGCCTATATAGCAGTCTATAAATAATGAAAAGGTGTTGAAACTTGATTGAACAATGCATAACAAACAACAATAAATCTCATGCCGGAAGTCGTTTTGCAATGTATTTTGTGAATTTTTTCAGGTAGGAGGACGTTATAGACTCTTCGGAAGACATCTGGAGGGAAGGTGAAGAGTTTGCATAAGATCTCGAAAGTGATAATTGAAATAAGTCAGGTCTCAAGTTCCTCAACGGTGATTTATTGAAGAAATTAGCGGATGAACTGATTTCCTTATTTAGGGGTCCACTAAAGCGGGGTAGTATCATGTGACATGTGATACGATCCGGATCGTATCATGTGATTTTAAAATCACGTGAAAATTCATAAGTGAATTATTTTAAGAGTCTGATTATTAGAATGCATTAATGAAAATTAATGAAAAGAGAGAAAGAAAAGAAAGATAGATTACTTAACTATTTAATCATTTTATTAAATTATTTTTAATTAAATATAAAATTATTTATATTACTATTTTAAAATCAGATCTAATAATTTATTTAAATAGATAATAAATATTCTAATAATATCTGCATCATTTTTATTCTTTATTATTTAATATTTATCTTGCATTCTTTTTATAAGTTCACCTATCTGTAACTTATATATCTTTATCTTTCTTTTTTTTTAAGTCTAAATAAGCTTAAATATTTTAATTATCTTTTAATACTTATATATTTCTTTACAAATAATTACTAAAATTTCTTTCAAATATTAGTTATTAAAAATATATAATAATAATTTGATGATATCAGATTTGATAATAATTTTTCTTTTATAACTCTAAAATTTATAATAATAATTTTATTTAAGATTAGTTTTTGAATTAGATATGAAAATTTTTGAATTTTCTTAATAATTTTATTATCAATATCAATTATAAAGATTTGTTTTTGATAAAAATTAAAGATAATCTTTTTTCAAATTCAATCACTTTTTATTATTAAGCTCAATAATCTTATAACATATACCTAATAAATTAAGAAATAATAATTTAATAATTATAATAATAATGAAAAATATGATTTAATTATAGTTAATAATATTTACTAATTAAGTCATATTTTTTTGTGATTAATCTTTTTAATTCATTATAAAATAATTTTAATAGATTTATGAAAATAACTTAAAGTAAGAGAGATAAATATTAATATATTTAAAATATTTATTTTTCTATATTTTTTAAATAATTATATTAAATATAATAAATAATATCTAAAATAAAATAGTATTATAAACTATATTTGTAAAGATAGATTTTACTAGGAATATAATCTATAATAAGTTTTGAGGATGAAGACTGAATTATTTATAAAGGTAAAGAGAATTATAATTATTTTAAAGATTTTCTAATACTAATACTTACAAATATTATATCAATATAAAATAAAAATAAAATAAAATAAAGAGAAGTTATGATCACAAAAACTAAACTAAGAATAGATATTAAAAACTAAATATTAATTATTATAACTAAAAATAAAAGATTTAGTATATTAACTAAATTCTCTAATAATATTTTTTTAATCATTAGACAAATAAAGAATATATATTAAAACAAAATAAAGCTTTTATACATGAGAAAACTTATAAGAATCTCCTAAATTAAATAAAATATACTTGGCTTATTTTAAGTAAAAAGTATCTATATTTATATTTTTCAAACAAGAAAAATATGTAAATAATCAGAATATAATTTATTATAATAGAAGAGATAAATAAAAGCAGAATATCAAGATAAAGATAAAAAAAAAATTATAAGATAAGTATAACTCAAGCATAATTGAATTATTACTATTCAAGTATATTTATTTTATATCTGAGAACAGAGATATTTATATATCTTTGAGATTCTATAAATTCTATTTAAACTCTACTCATAACTTATTTACTACTCTAGTATATAATTATAAGTTTTGAAACAAAGAATCATAAATAAATAAGTAAAATAATATGATAAGATATATATAATAAGTTAAAAGATAATATAAATGATAAAATAAAATAAAAAGATAAGATAAATATTCTAAAAAGAAAAAGATAATAAAGAAAATAAATT